AGCCACCAGGCTGAGCAGATCGCTCACCTGGCCACACCTGACACAGGTGGCTCTCCGCTGCCCTCCATCACAAGTGCCAGGCTGCGGCACGCTCTGCAGCCCGAGGGCTGAACACCCGCTTGCTTGCATGGGGCCTCTCTCTGGGTGCCCACAGTTTTTCTGATGGCCTGTGATCAGGTTACAACCCTAATTCTGCACTCAAAGACCTCTCAAAACTACACACCGGTTTATTTACGTTTAAGTATTCCACTGCTAACACCGACTTACCCTTTGTTGCCTTGTGCTCGGCGTGCTCCATGGGCAGCGACTAGTTTCTGTACTCCCCAAGGCTTTTTATTGAAGACTATTGAGGGGACAATTAACAGCTGGTTGACGTCATTAATATACACAATTAGCGGCTGGTTAACAGCGTTAATGCCCCGTTTAGATTAGGCGCCCGTGATGGTGGCTCCGCCCATGTTAGCTCAGCACCCTGCCCTCCAACTGCCGGTTCCCGGCACACGCTTTTCCTGGCTTAAAAAAAGCCCCAAAAAAGAGCTTTTTGTCGGCTTGCTTCGCTTTAGATCCGTTCCCCAGTGCAGTCTTACTTGCCCCGAAGGTTATCCCTCAGGTATATCCTGCTGCTTTGGAAATACATCCCCTTTTTCCTATTCTGATCTGGTGTAAACTATTACACCCAGTTCAGGTGATGCAAACTCAGGCTTGGTAGCACCTTGCAAAAAGTCGTCTTTATTGCCTCTGCAAGTAACACTGAATTCCCACGTACCAAGACTCCACCTCAGCACAGCCCACTGGCACAGGAAGGGAGGAGTGTGGGGCACGAGTATGACAGGAGGGGCCACACACCTCTGCAGAGGTAAGACAAGGCAAAGGGACGAAACGCAGCCCAAGTGCAATACGTTTTTCGATGCTGCAAAGCTTCATTACACTGGCAACCTGTGGCTCAGAACGTTTCATGAGGAGCCCACGGTGCCCTGATATAGTGAGGCTGTCCCTCAGCTCCAAAACCTCACACACTCCCCCTCCATCCCTCCCTCCCCAGTTCTCCTACCCCTACCTGAGGAAACCTAGGGATACTTCAGCTGCAGAAATTTGTTTTTCTCCCAAAGGGATGATCATTACATACCTAGGAATAAGATTAAGCCCCAGAAAAGATACAAAGAGAGAACCATTCCCAAAGGAAAACAAAATGCTTGCCCCTCTCTCACAAGCATCCTTCCCCCACTGGCCAGACAGAAAGGCAACCTAAGCTGTCCTAGAAAAGGAATAGTTGCAAAAGCAAGCCAACCTGTCCTGCAGGAAATCCCAGGGCCAACATTCCCCTGCCCAAAGGAAGCACAGTGGGTGGCTGTCAAAGCAGACTCTCGCCAGGACTTACTGTGTATAACCACGGCCAGTAGCTGATAGGGAGGACAGCAGGGAAGAAACATCCAGACACCCAGGAGCCCACAGGAGCTTGCAGTCCGCAAGCCTCTGATAATTTTAAAATTTTTCTTTCCTCTTTTTTTGCAATTCTGAAGGCATGTGACTAGCCTTCACATACCAGAGCTGACCCCTCCCAGAGCCAGCAATTTCCTAAGAGCAAAGAAGGATGTTACCCTCCTGCTTATTCATTACAAGACTAGGTTTCTTTGCCACTATGCATAAAAACCTCATGCCATCTAGGGTCCGAGTGTCCTGCCCAGGATCTCTCCAGAGAGATGCAAACGTGCTGTGGTGCTATCCGGAGCACCTGCTCGTCCTTCCCTAATAGGCACACTGCTTTCAATTTTCAGGTGTAAACCATTAACTCTTCGCTTTCAGATCTGCCCTCCCTTTATTTATCAGACTGTGAACAACTACTAGCATTTAACACTCTGTTTCCCTGCAAATTAACACTTGTACCTGGAAGCGTACTCTCTCGCTCTCCCACGCGTTTTTTTGTGTCACCGAAATACCATGGCATGGCGACCCTCTGAGGTTTTGGTTTCGTTTTTTTGCTCTCTTGTGTTGGCAGCGCAGACGCTGGAAAAGGGGGAGTTATGCTTCCTCTCAAACCGCTGTGCTCCCAAGCTCTCCCCTCCAGCTCGCACCTCAAATTCCTCTACCTCCCTTTGCAATTCCCACTACCCACAACGCTGAGACCCCACACCTGCCTCCAGCCCCTAGAGGATGGGGTCCTCTAGCTGCCCTCCTCCCTGCCGCCTGCACCCACTCTTCCAGTGAGATCCCCACCGCAGGGTGGG